AATACTATCATCATTTCAATGCAAATTATTCTAACCAAGATGTTTCCAGCTAACAACATTACACATATCATGCATGCTCTTTTGTCGTTGTGACAATATAGAAAAAGAGTGACTAACTATTGGCCTGAAAAATAACAAATAGATAGTAATCACATAGAAGGGTAAAATGGTTGGACACAGACTGATTCTTAAATGATATGGTTGAAAATAGTGAAAAAAAATTGTAATGGAAGAGAGAAGACATGCGCTTGCAATGCTATATGTTCTAAAGAGGTATGTTTTCAAGGCCAAGATTACATTATTTGCAAGTTTTCGCGCGAAACCAACTCGTTTTCTTTTAAAACCTTATGAATGCAGCTGTCAACACGTGATTAACTGATTGAAATGTTAACCAACCAATTTTTTCCCAACAAGTGTTAAATGTGGAGCTTAATTATTGCCACTTTGCGGAGATTATCACGGATCGACCTCCATTGTGAGGTCACCGTGGGAATTTGAGTCCTTATAAAATTCAATTTCTCCCTAATTTATCTTATAAATAGGGAACTGTCCTTCAGTTTTTTTATTATTATCAAAAAGGGAGAGAAAGAGGCTAGAGAAGATATGAATGCAATTTTCTCTTGTAATATTTTTTTTCATCGTAAAATTACTGCATTGGAAGCGAACCTCTTCAATCTTGTGTGTTCTTGAGTTTTATTTTTCTTTCTTTCAATTGATTGCTCTCGGTGGAATATAAAAGGGTTCATAATTCTCAACATTAAGTTCAAGAAAACTCTTTTCAACTTAGAAATGTAAAATTCTTGAAACATATTGAAAGGAGAAGCATAATTACACATTGGAAGAGAGGGCAAGAAAAATACAAGGCTTAAAACAAATAAATTATGCTGGAAACAGGTTTGAGTCAACTATGAGAATAACGCTTTCAATTTCCCTATTTGTTTTTACGGTAAATGGCCAACGTATCACTCCCATTCAAGTGATGAAGTAGCATGCCTGCTACACACTTACATTCAAACTCTCTACTGCCAAAAAGGGCCTACTTCTAGGTCAGGATTCTGAACTGTATCCTCCTCTACTTCTCCTCGTGCAATCACATCAACAGAATGGTTTCCAAGAATTCTAATCAACTGAGTACATGATCTCTCCACGAGTGGTCTCAAACCAGTGCCCTCACTACCTAGAACGAGGATTGTCACAATTCGTCCCAAAACTTCTTACTAGACTCAAGACGTGAAGTGCGCCGATGATAAGTGCCAGCTTGGCATTGGACCCATCACCAAAGCAACTATAACTATACTTTGATTGTATGGCCTCCTTTGACCAATAAA